AATTCAGAACGACAACGGAGTTTCCAAGAGCACTGAGGTGGATGATGTCAGAATCTGGATATCTCCGTGAATAGATGTATGTCCTCGATCATAGTGGAAACTCCTTACTATGTTTTCGACACATCTTTGCGTATTCAAGCCAGATGTAACCTTTTTGGGGAACATCAAACAAGTTCCCTAGAATTGGAAGCTTCCTGGGACCTGGGGGGAGAGGAAATTGGCCCGAATTCTTCCATCGTGCGTATAGAGCTAAAGCTAGAGTAAAGACAAGAAGAGCCAGAGCGTGCGTCAACTCGAATTTGGGCATTGTGCGGGTACAGCAGATGTCTCATTCAAGACATACATGCATCTTTATAAGAAGTTCAGATAAGCTGGATGATTGGCAAACTGGGCTTGGAAGGAGCGACAAATAATATCGACGGCAGCGGACCGAACGGCCTGGTCAAAACCTACCAGCTCCATGCACAAGAATCTGTTCCTTGAAGTTGAGTTCAAATTCGAATTCGAAAGCAGAGACACGTGGTCGTACAGTGTTCGTTCATTAATTTCCGGCACCTAGATAGTAGAGATTCGTCCACGCGTTCAGGAATTCAGGAAAAATTACTCGGAGAAGTTATAATTCCGTATAGGCAGTTACCCAAACAGCGGAGGAAGAAGAGAAGAGCGACCCAGCTAAGGACCGTATCCGACGAATCCGGATTGAGAATCGGAAGGAAGGGAAACCGAAATCGCGTGCTGTTTGTGCTTTCACTCGTAAGAATGGGCGTGGAGAATAACAGAACGGATGCTAGAGAGTGACAGTGAGAATTCTCCCAAGGTTGCGTATTCTTTATTGAAATTCGTCGAGCCAAACTTGAACACTGAATTGACGGGCTGGAAATCGCCTTTGCTATTATTCCACCACCACCGCCGCCGCCGAGTCCTGTTCCTGTTCCTCATATCAGCACCGCTTCAGGCGTTTCTTTGGTCCCGGGTTGTTTCTTTGGTTCCAGATTCGCCTTTGCTGATTTCGGATTTTGATTCGCTGGATTTTCTGTTACTGGTCAACGTCGTTTTGTTGGCTTCCATTTTTCTGCCCGTTCAGCCACACTTGGTTCTTTCTTCTCTCTTTTCCTCTGCTTGTTCTGTATCGCGTTCCGACCTTTCCTAAAATTTGGATTTTGCTTATAAGCTATCGGTTAAGAACGGGTTCGATTGAGAGATGCTAGCTCGTGCTTAGGTTTCCTAGTCCTTTTCAAATCGAGCTGCAATTGATCTTGAAGGCGTGCAAGTACATGTTCAGATAGTGTGGTGACTTGTGTAAGTGTTATAATGCTGGTCTTTGGACCCCGATGAACCATGATAAAGAGATACTAGCGTGGAGAACACACGTGAAGGAATTGTTTTCCGTGATACTCAACGCTTAAGCTTAAGCGCTTAAGGTCGATAGAGTTGGCCGGAAAAACGAAAGTCTCTTGGACCAGCTCTTCTCATTTCTGCAAACAGATTTATATGAGATTCAATCGAAGGGAGATAGTATAACGCACTTCATCTGCACACTGAATCATCTCGATTGGCCTCCTATAGCTTGTCTCCACAATATGGGCAGAGCACTAAGTACTGACAGTGAGTGAGTGGTTGTCGTTGAGTGAAGGAACCGTATGCAACACGCCCACGTGAGACCTGACGTGATCACGCACGAATTACTTATGAGTGAGTTATTTGAAAGTTCAGCGAATTTGGCGTGAATCTTGACTGATGTGATAACGTCGTTCCTCATATAAGATCTGGCAATTGCTTGGAAATCCGCAAAACACATACGCTATACTTAACTACACCTTGCGATCTGTGACGCAATGTAACGAGCATGAATGTACACCGTCCCTTAGCAAGTCCCGCCCCGCCACTGTAAGTCCCGCCACTGGCCAGGAATTCAATGGATCGTCACGGTTTTTAAAAAAAGCGAATCGCGACATAAAAAAATCGAACTAGCTATTCTGGTATACACCTAAACTAATGTAAATAACGCTATCAACTTATTCCCGAGATCCAGTCAGATATCCACCGTAACTGAGGCATTAAAGCAAGTGCGTAAGTGATTCTTTTCCATATATGACAGGCAGGGTATGAGTGGGGAGTGTCACAGACGCAGTACCGGGAGCTGTTAAATTTACTGGTGACGTTGGAAGAGCCGGGACTCCGGCGAATGAAGCAAGCGGAAACCCGTTGGCTCGGGAACAAGACGATGTAAAAGGGCTAGGGATAGGCAAAGGAAGGGGGTCTGAGAGCGCAAACGAGCAATCGTTTTCTGCGCATGCCATACCTGATCTATCGTCATCCTGCACTCGGACAGGTCGGGGGGACTCGAAAAATTGGGGTCGTTGGGGTTTATGCATATGATTCGGAACGGAGTCCCCTTCAACACCTTTCAGCGACGTAATGAGAGTCTCGACACGACCCATCAGGTGCTCCATCTTGGTTTGACTGGTTTGGGTGGATGCTGTCACATTTCCGATGGACTGCTGCAAGCTGGCAAGAATAGTGTGGTGGTTCGTGACGAGCGTTTGCAAGGCGTTTAGGTTTTCGGTGAGCCTGCGTATCTGACCATCATAATGCAGTTCAGAGTGGAGAGGGGGTGAGCTCGAATGATTGAGGGTCGTGGGGATCGTAACCACGCTGCTGTCAGTATTTACAGCACTAGCGCGGGGGGAGTTGGGCGAGGAACGTCCGGTAATGGAATTCCCTGTCTGGCTGCCACATACGGCGCTTGGATGTGGTGTATAAGCTTTAGCAGCTCTACACCCTTCCTGACTCTTCTGGGAAGAGTATATAGTAAGGTTTCGGCTATCTAGCACCGCTTTAACCTCACGGCGATGGCCATCCCCTGGAAAGACAGCCTCGAGGTTATCGATCAGTCTGCTAATGTTTTCAGTGAGATCCGAAAACCTCTTCTTATCATACAGAGTCCACTTTGTCAGCCTGAGCCAACCGATTCGTTTCTGCCGAAGGGCAGCCGCATGTTGTAAGTGGTTGACTACTTCGATGTATCTTTTCTCTATATCGTTATAGGTGTATCCACCTGCCAAATCCAAGTCCGCGGGTATCGGGTACTTTTTCGATATAATCTCCGAATCATCGAAAAGGAGGAGGATGTGGAATATGATATCCCTTGCAACATCCAGATCGAGCTGGGTTGCTATCGGATTACCAAGCTGGGGGTCGTGATAGATGTCCACGGACTTCCCCCAAAGGGAGAAACGCAGTTTCAGGATGCTAAAGTTCAGAAAATCTGTCTGCGAGTCTTTTGCAAACTGTCGCCTCGTTTGAATATAGTTGAAGCATTCTATGCATGTGCTGAAGATGGAGGCAATTCCAATGGCTCCTGAAACAAGGCCAAACGCTGCCATCTTTTGTGGGGGGTAGTACAGACGCTGCAACAAACGCTGCAACTTTTTGTGGAGAAACTAGACATCTAGTACAGCGTCGTTCAAAGGTGTTAACGAACCAACGCAGATCTGGCGTAGATTGAGCTGGCTTGCTATTGGCTTACAAGCTAGAGGTCGTGATAGATGTCTTCAAGTCTAGCAGTATTCAAGACGCCGGCAAGGGGAGACGCCCAAAGCCACTTGGCTGGTTCGAATTCAACGCATGTGCAATTATGGACACTTCCTACATCGTACAGGTTCGACTCATGGTTCGAACGTTCAGCGGTCAGCGCCTGCGGCGATCTAATACTACTAGAGGAGTCTGTTATCATGATACAACAGTCTGGAATTGTCTGGATACATTGAACTAAGCGTGGATGCCACGGAACCTGATGATGTACTATGTAAAGCTTTTCGGATTGCATTTACTGAGGCTAGCCGTCTTATAGTCAGGGTTACGCAACAGAACAGCGCGCAGCTTCAGTCACTATAGATGTCAAGTAGACGCGAAAGCCAAGTCCATTTTCACTGAAGTGGTATGATTTCATCCTCAATCGATGGGCTCAGTTTTTCGGTCAAACGGAGCGTCAGTCACCATATATATGTCAGTTACAGCCATCCTAGCCACCACAGTCTTACTTATATACAAGGAAGATGAATGACTCACTCGAATGTATGCGCTGGATCCATCGACTGCCGTAGGTGGTGACTGAGAAGGTCCAGACCAACACAGTTATTCTTCAAGCTCTCAGAAGACTCGGCAGCCATGGTATAGAGCATGACAGCGTACGCGGAACCTAAGCGGCTCTGAATGCTGCGGGAAATCGCGAATGGATTTGAAACGGATGTGGGCGTGTCATCTCGAACGAGTTCGAGGGTGGTCATCACAATCAAGGCGGATACAGACTTTGGAATTCCGAGAGAGCGAGAGTCCGAGTATTCATAGTCGGATATAGCGATGAAAGACTTTGTACAATGAGAACTGCAAAACGTTACTGTAGTGGGTACAAAAAGAACTCGTCAATGCTCCATAGCATCCCCTGGAGCTTTCCCAGTCTTGACCAATTCATTTCTACAACCGCATAAGAGTTTGAAACTGGGACAGAAATGCAAAGAAAACGCACCTCAGCTGCACACTAAACTCATCCTCGATATCATCGTCGTCCCAATTGTCTTCCCATAGTTTATCTCCACCAGATTTGGCTGCTCCAGGAGCAGACCCGCCGAGATGCGCGAGGTCCGTTTGTGAGTCGTCCCAGTCTAGATTGGCGTAAATATGAAAGAGTACAGGGTGTGACAGGAATGGATACACACCAGCAGCAGCAAACTCTTCAAATTCATCATCTTCCTCCAGTACGCCTAAATGTGGCCGCGCTTCCTCCTTCTCCTTCAAATTCTTTTCTTTTTCCTCGGATGCTATGGTAGAAGACGCTTTCTCTGTCTCTTTCTCTTTCTCTTGGGTCTTTTTGGCTTTGGGCTTCGATGAGGAGGGGGTGGACATGCTGGTTGAGATTATGAATGAAAGACGCGCGTACGCGTTGGAGCCTGGGAAGAAGCTGGCGATTTGATATGCGTGTATTTTGACTAAATTACTGTGGGCACTTGGCACAGTTGGTAGCGCGCACGCTTCGCATAACTGAGTAAGAGTTGATGCGTGAGGTCAGGAGTTCGACTCTCCTAGTGTCCATAACTGGCAAATACCACCTATTTTTCTTTTCTGTTTCTATCATCATTCTCTTATACCCTCCTCATTCGCACCTGGTGCCTTGCCCTTTCTATTATACTACTTTTGACTCGTAACGTGTCAAGCTTCAAGGTCGAGAGTTCAGTTTTCCCTACCCCTTGCTTCAAGCTTCATTCTTGCTTTACATTAGTTGTTCTCTTGTCAATTAACACTAAAATCCCTTTGCTCCACGCTAACCTTGGGCAAGCTTTGCGTACGTATAACTCGACTCGGTCAAATTCTTCGACGTTCTTTCTATTCCATACGTTGGATGAGTACTGCACGCAAAGCAGTGTTTGAAAACTTTACTCAATGCCGCCTCAAATGAATTTGTTCATGAAGATTTCAAAAAATATCAACATATTCCGTCGTGAAAAAATATACGTAGCATTTCATGTTCCTGCTCTCAAACTGCAGCCTCTGTCGACACATCTTCCTTTACATCCTCAGTGTATTCCACCACAGACGATTCCTCAGATCGCAGACCCATCTGTGAAGTATCATATCCATTCGCCTCCAGGTACTCACGGAACTACAAAAATCCACCAGTTAGCATTCAAACCTGGTACAGAAAAAGTTTTTGCTTACCTTGGCATCCTCTTCTGCCATCCCATCCGTGTGGATGGGTTGGATGAAGAAATATGTAATTATGGCACTCAAGACTGCAAGACCACTTGCGATCCAGAATGGACCAGTGTTACCTTTGGTGGTGCTAGCACCACCAAAGTCGATGATGATTTGGGGGAAGACTATCAGAGAATCAGCATACAAAACGGGAGGGACGAATGACATCCGGACATACCCCAAGTACCAATAAATGCGCCGACTTTGCCTGTAGCGGCGGCGATTCCGTAAAATTGACCACGGACGGCGGTTGCGCTGGTTTTGGATGCGAGTAGACCGGTGCAGTTTCCAGGACCTACAGTAACAAGGAATTCAGACGATCGGTTACAGTCCGACAAGAAGAATACGCACCGAGTTCACCGAGACTTAGGAATATACCATACAGCACCGCAAAGGCAGCGATGTGATCCGTCAGTCTGTATTCCGCCGTTAAATCATCTCTCATAAGCGTCCTATAGTGAGTACTTACTGTTTATAAAGTCCACTCATGATAAAGCCGACTACGGCTTGCGAAAGCAGACCAATGATCTGTGGAACGTGTTTAGCCCAGCTACATTGATTATGGGCAAGGACTCACCAAAGTCCACTTGGGGCCCAGATAATCTACGATGAATGCTCCACCAATTGTGCCTAGGGAAAGAAATTAGAGGGCGATTAGATTTTGCGAGGAAGCAAAAAGATGCCTACCAGGCATATAGAAGAGACTGAATGGTAGAGAAAAATCAGGTTACTACTGAAGTAAAGATGATAAGGAAACGTACTTGATAACAACATTCCAGCCCATGACCACGGTAAGTGATTCGTTACCACCGGTAATACTGTACGAGATGAGTCGGTATCAGAAACGAGGAGGATACAACGCACTTATTTATGACAGTACTAGAGGGGAGGGAGTATTAAAAAATTAGAATATCATTGCTAAATAAGGAACATACGATGAGAAGATTCCGAAGGGATACCTAGCAAAAGATGCGTCAAAAAATGGAGAAAAAGACATGGTCAATTGAAAGACGTACACAATAAAGTCGTAAATGAACCACACAGTAGAGACAGCCGCCAATGACTTCCAATAACGACGGAACACCAATGAATACGGAATTTTTGCGTACTTCATCGAATCCTTTTGGTATCTTCGAAGTATATTAAAACTTGCAGAGCGGGATGCGGGACAGCACGCACCTTTGGGGCTCTTTCATACCAATTCGCCAGATAAGTACAGCGATAGCAGGGACGACGCCTAGACCTAGAGACAACCGCCATACAGCTCGGAGGTGGTTCTCACCAAAGCTTTGGAAAGGGATCAGAAAGCATTTCGTGGATAGGAGGTTGTTGCACTTACATCCAGAACAAGACCAGAGGCACAAAGCTCGAGACGACGAATCCGAAGTCAATCATACAATCTGGACACATAAATGAGTGACAGCACGGTAAATGTGGATAAGATACATACTGGTAGCCAGAGCGAACCATCTGTGTTGAGACATCTTTGCAATGTCTTTCTCTTCTGTACGCTCTGAAGCGGAGACTGATCCACAAGGATACTCAGCACCGACTCCGATACCGAGAAGAAATCTGTAGGCGACCGTGCAGCCAACAATCAAAAATTTGTTCCCCGAGCTAAAGCAGAATTTCAGCCCACCGACAAACTCCCAGCATAGCAACCAATCCAGGAAGACTATGATGTGCTCCAGAAGACGCAGCGGACAGCAGAGAGAAGAACGCCACGATCCAAGTAGCAGTCATCATACCAAACTTTCGTCCTACTTTATCAGATAACCAACCTTTTGATTCAAATAGTGCTCAGTCCACTGCTATAGACGGTTACATTCCTCGTGCACTTACCGAAAGTAACCATCCCCACGACTGTCCCCGCAAATACAAGACTGCTGATGACATTGGTGTACTTGTGGTTAGTGAGCTCGTTGTCGTAGATTCGGTTCAGAACTGGTCGATGTTCAGCATTCTCATCCTCTTCATGGATATAAGGAGCAGTGAGAGGCACTTACTGAGGTTAACTGTTCAAATGCATCAGCGACAGCGTTTGGAGATGGCAAGGTATATGTACTCACTATCGCTGATCACCCCATTGGCATAACCTTAGAAAATAAATCAATGTCAGCGTTGTACGCATACACCAATAGCTAGAAAAATCTTTTTACCATCCGAAAACAGAGCCGTTCCACATCTGTAGTGATATTTAAACGATTTAGTTTAGAATAGATGAAGGGAAAGAAGCAACAACGGACGCAAAGATGAGAGAAACGCTCTTGAGTTTCGAACCGACGCTCTTCTTCTCCTGTTCCATTTTGACAAGGGCACAATGTCGATGAACGCAGCAGAAAGAGATGGGGCGGGAAATTAACGTTATATATAGACTCTAAGAACCATGTATATAGAAGGGAGATTCGAACAGTGATGAGTTCCCTTGAATGAACAGAGTTCTCAACTCGTATCCTATTCGGTCCCAAAAGCGTCCCGTGGGCTCACGAGCCAGCGAACCCAGCTATCTGGCATGTTGTAGGTACAATCTGTCCCAGCGTGGAACAAATTAACCTCGAAAACAGTTTGTGACCATACCGTCGTTCAGATATGGCATCCAATAGATACGATAAAGTTCGATGGGAGAACGACAGCGGAGCTTTGGTGGTAATTCATAGAAAGCTTCATAGACTGTGGCACGCTGAAGCAGAAAATGAATAGGCGCTTTCTCATTAGGAAATTACCTAATCAGGTCCCATCGAGGAAAAGCTGGATTTTCTCTTGCGAGTCGTACTGCGCGCGTTGATACGCTCAATTATTGCGGCAAGACTGTGTACTCTTTTAATTTCTATTCTACACAGCTACCACTCAGCAGAGTGGATGACTGCAGTTCATTGACTTGAACCGATATTGACCCAGATCAGTCGGCCATTGGCCCCTGATAGACGACTCGGATAATAGACCCCACCATAGAACTGAGAGTGCTTGATTAAGTTGACTTCAGCCTTCAGGCTTCGAGCATCATTCAAGAAAGGGGCGAATAGCTTAATTATAGCTCAGTTTCGCCGTGCCTCCCGGTGTACCGACATTCAAGCATTCGAATAACATTGTGAGGTCCCCACCCCACCCAACACCGTTTAGGCCTTTCGTATTTCGTCTTTGTCTCTCTCACTAAACATAGCTTAACTGGGTGCTCAAGGCGTAAACCAGCAATTACTTGAGGGGGGTTGCATGGTGCATGGATTTAAGCCTATACCAAGTTTGTAGCACGCACGTTCGTAGCAGGCCATGCGCCCTCGGTCCCAAAATCACGCTCCTGATTAAAGTAGGTCGCTATGACGCTTGGCTTCCGTATTGAGAAGGTGGGGAATATAAAAGTATCCGACCATCTATGCTGAGAACTTACCCATGGAGAAATCTAGGAAATCCTTACCCAAAAAACTTAAAGAAACTCACGTCAATCTTGCTGTCAATTCATCATCACTCACTGGCACTTCAGTACACGAGATACAGATGAATACGTACCTCATGAGCATAAATATTGTAGAGCGCGTCAAATGTGCCGTCTTTGCCAGAGGCAGCTGCGCAGTAGTTCCCGGAGCTTGCACTGAATACGTGCTTGTATGCCTTGCTAGTGACCCCTGAAGCAATGTCGCCAGGATATCGTCGCAAAATGATGGCGATTGCATTATGTAGTTGTTAAAGTCTCTCTACAGACCTTTTACGAGTTCCCGCCAACATCGACAGAGAACGTGTTGGTATACCAAAGGTGGTGTAGGCTTATGTTAGTGAAAATAAGTGCCAAGGACCCATTAGATGTTCCACCGCGGTCAACCGCGGTTGTCTTGTAGGGTAGATAGAGTGAAGAGGCCCACATTGCATCCGAAGTCGTGTCAGGAATTCCTCGTTCTGAATGGGCATACTACATTAATTGATTGGACTCTGGTTCTTCTCTGTCGGTCAAACTTCTAGTGGAGGCGTAGCAGCGGCAACAGCTAGGCTTACAGGTTGTTGCTTCAATCAAACTATCAAAGACGATAGTCTATCGGCTCGAAAGACGTTATTTGCGCCCATCCAATACCGATATATGCCGGAAGTTTGCGATCAGCTCTTTGGCACTTGAAGAACGAGAGGGCGCGGGTGCGGTGATTGCAATTATATGGGCCAGGGTTTTGTCGCGGCTCCAAATTTGTGGTACTTGGTACGCTCACTTTGTTTCTGGGAGGAAAGCGTCTGTGCGCCGATATCAATGGGCACAGCAGGCGGATGCATATCCGATGTGTGACTGAGGCGACAATTCTGAGCAGGGGAGCGACAACAACATCGGCGAGCCATGGTGTCCGTATGGCAGGCACCTCAAG